ACATAAAAATTCAAATTCTCATTTTCGTTTTATGTAGAATAGGTTCATTACCGTTTACGCGGCAGTATATTATAACGGCCTATCTTGATTGATGCTATGAAACACAGACATGAAGGTCATGGTTGAATGCGTTTCTGCTGACACGTCAATGCGTTACTGATCCACAATGTCAACGCATTACATACCGAGACACGATGGGAAAAACCAACAAAACAAAATCAAATTACATCGATTTTTAACGAAATTTTGATACCGTTCTAAAAGTTGGTTTCTATCGAATATTAAGTACTTTTCTACTCTTGTGTGGTAATATTTTTATCATTTTTGCACCCGTGTGTTCCCGAGTGGTCGCGAGTGGTCCCGTGTGGTATTTAGGCCTATATATATATATGTATGGATGTATATGTGTATATACATAAATATGTATAGCCTATATAGATGATTATTGTTATAAATTATTATTATTAATTATTATATAATATGAATAGGCCCAAAAGGATAAGAAAACGAAGCAGAGAAAATTAAAACTAATTGAAAATTATGTCTTATGAGAAAAGAGAAAAAAAGAACACTAATAAGTATAGGCCCAGAGGAAAAGAAAACTTACCTTAATAATTAGCGGCAACAACAATCTTACAGACAGCACAAGATCGTACAGATACTACAACAAATATCTTTTGGTTTGCGTACGGGTTGACCAAAATGACGTGTGTACGGGTTGACCAAACGTGGGTACGGATTGACCAAAATTTGGGTACGGGTTTGTTTGGGTACGGATTGACCAAAATTTGGGTACGGGTTGGTATGGGTACGGGTTTGTTTGGGTACGGATTGACCAACACCCCTCTAGCCTAGCCTGGCTCTCTAGGCTGAGGCCTTTACGGAGAATACCTTTATTTACGGACGGGTAGGCCTAAGGCCTAGTCTCCTCCTTCCTAGGCCTAGGCTAGCCAGGCTAGGGCCAAGGTAGGCCTAGTTTGGCCACCAAACAAAAAATTAACACTGCTGAGCAAAATCTCTCTGAATTCAACCTACCTACTATAATACATTTAGCCCTTAGGACTACCATTATCACAAACTCTATTTAGCTTCGACCACCACACACATGTAATAATTGTTGCACCGTTGCCTGGATGCCAAAATTCGAGCAGCGAAATATGGAACGCCGTTAGTATCTTCGGTTATGTGCAAACGCTTTATTTTATTTATTTATCCCAGCCAACAACAAACATAAAATTCGCCACTTACAGGAGGGAACACAAACATATTATGTGCAATCGCCATGACGTTATGTGGTTTGGTCATGATGTTATGTGGTTTCTCATTATGCTATGTTTTTTGGTCATGAAGTTATGTAGTTTGGTCATGATGTTATGTGGTTTGCTCATTATGTTACATAGTTTCGACATGACGTTCGGACGTCCTTGTGAGTATGTGAAGAAGTGTAAATAAGAAAAAGGTTGTACAAATAAGCTTTTGATTGGCCGAGAGCGAGCGGGAAGACCACACTAGTTTTATTACCACCACCGCGCCAGAGTTGCATTTCAAACAAGCAAAGAGTATATAACAGAAGAGTGTCCACTGCTATTCTTAATGCACGCGAATCAGCGTGACCCCCACCCCCCAATTCGCTGTGTGGAGAAAACTCCCCCAGCGTCTGTTGTGGATGCATGAGTTTCGCCGAGTGATGGCATATAAAAACAGTAATTTAACACCTGTGCATAAAGTCAAATTATTATATCCGTTTTTTTAACGAAATATAAAGGCAAGACTATAAGAATAACATTATATTATATTATTATATTATATTATTACATTACATTACATTACATTACATTATATTACATTACATTACATTATATTATTGGAAAGTATGCTATATATTTTGTGGGTTTTTAGAAAGTTTACTTCAAATCATGATAGTATTTTGAATGTTGATAATAGAAAAAGCCTGGTGGTTTATAAGAAAATAATATTTAATAGGCCTCCCTATACTAGAAGACGACTATTTATTATAGACATTCATCCATTCATGCATTGGTATTCCACATATGTAATTCTTATTAAATGAGAAAATAGTTAATGATGACCAAACCACATAACGTCATGACCAAATCCCATTAATATGCACTGACATTTTAAAAATTGTGTCAAAACACTGTTTTGACACTTGACACTGTCCCATTGACCTACGTTCCAATAGATAGTAATGAAAGTAATTAATTTATTGTGAAGAATACCCGTTGTTTCATGGGCTTAATTCGATGTGAAAAGTAATATGCGCAGTAGTCGGATAAATTACAATAAAACGGCACGTGAATTTATTTTATTATATCATTATTATTATTATTATTAGCCTATTACTATTAATATAGTTGTTGTTTTGTTAATATTAATTTTTTAACTTTCTTTTATTCCCTGACGGAATATACTCCTCTTCTCCGACCGGGTGGGGGAGGGGGGGGGGCTAGGTTTCCTCGACGATTTGCTATATCCCCCCAGCCCCTTTCTGGCTCCACCACTGCACCTCAGCCCCACCATGATTGGGGTGAGGTAAGAAGATTTGAGGAAATAGTACCTTAATGGCCGGAAATGACCGATTATCGCCCTATTCGTATCGTCAAAACCGTTCAACCGAGGACACAGTTAATCTGTTGCTTCATAGAGTGCTGCAACATCTCGAAGAGAGATAAACGATATGTTCGAATGCATGTTTATTGACTTCAGCTCCGCCTTAATTCAGTTATACCTCCTAGCAGGAGTGGCGCCATGACCTGCCCGACGGAGGGGCTAAAGGCCCCGACGTGGGGGCTAGTGGAGCGAATCGAGTCTCATTTGGCTGGGGGCCAGGATATTTGATGAATTATGGCGAATTTTATTACTTATTTGATAGGCATCGAGTTACTATAATATGACTTCATGTAGGCTATGCTTTCTAATATTGACATCAGCTTCCAAAAACCAAAACATTTTGAAAAAAGCAAGAAACAAAGAGTATGTAATGTAACCATCTAATTTATTTTCAAATCCTCTTCTTGAAAGTGAAATTCTATATATTTTGGAAATTTTGCATGAAATCTGTCAACCACGTTGTCATGGTCGCGGTTGTTTCACCTATCACGATTCCAACCTTCATGAGGCTATCTAAATGAGCATTTGTCATAACAGAACGCAAATTATTTTTAATTAGTCTCATTGAATTATTATTATTATTATTTATTATTTAATTATTATTATTATTATTATTATTATTATTATTATTATTATTATTAATATTATTATTATTATTATTATTGTGGTTGTTGTGATGAAAAGTTAACACAAACGATATGGTGGCAAAACGCTATAGCAGTCTAATTCTCAGGTATGCAAGTTCAAATTCTACGGTGCAAATATCTTTATGCGGGGATGTTCATCCAAACCCCGGACCTGAGGATGATAATCAACATCGTCAAATAAACACTTTTCAGGAAATAAAGAGTTGTAAGGGATTGACAATTGCACATATAAATATTAAAAGTTTATATAATAAAATTGATCAACTGCGTCTCATGATCCAAGAGACCCCACTTCACATACTTATGAAAGTAAACTGTCTGCAGTCATAAGTGATGCCGAGATTCACCTACCGGGATAGGAACGATAGGGATAGGAATGGCAGAGGCGTGGCAATTTACATTGCTGACTATCTAACATATAGCGAGGTGGTGTTTGACCAAGAGTTGAACAAGTCACTCGAATCATTATTGATAGACGTCTTAATCTCACCTGTCACCATCAGGATAGCTGCATTATACAGACCACCCAGTACACCAGTAATATTCTTTGAGCATTTTGAAATGTTTCTTAATAAGTACTGTGTACCACATGATTTGGTCATTATCGGTGATTTAAACATTGATTTTCTTAGGCAACATTCGAATCTACATAATCTTAGGAATATCATGGATATAGTTAACCTTGCACAGATAGTTACAAACGCAACCCGCACATCTGACGACGGTCAATCTTTAATAGACCTGATTTTGACGACCAACCGAGACCTGCACAATTTTACTTCAGGTTTGCCTTCTTTAGGCCTATTACGTGATCATGATTTTATTTTTACATCAATTAATATTAAACCACCAACATACTTCCATAACCAGCGAACATATAGAGATTTTCGATCTCTCAATTAAGCTAATTTCATTGAGGATCTAAAAAAACTTCCCTGGTCAATCATCACTCAGCTTGAGGTTGTTGATATTTGCTTACGTATTTTAATAACTTTATGAAATTAGTTATTGATAAGCATTTGCCAATCAAAACACGGCGTTTCAGGGCAAATATGCCTCAGTGGCCAGAGATAGGGAAGACATATTATCACTCATCCACGAACGGGACAGGGTAAAGCATCAAGCTAAGCTGTGAGGACCTTTGGAGTAAAGCAAAGGCCTTAGAAATAAAGTGAATAAGCTCTGTAAGAAGGCCACGATAGAATATTATTAGAACCACATTAATAACTATGTAAATAACTCTAAACAAATGTGGCGAGGACTCAGGCAATTTGTGACGTCTGGCATAAATGTTATGCCTGCTTCCATTACTATTAATGGAGATATTATTACTTCTGATGATGAAATTTATTTAATAATTATTTTATTAATGTACCACCTGAATTAGATCGGGCTCTTGATTTAACTGATATTGATCCATGCCCTTATATATCAACATTCATTTTCTTTTGGTTTTTGTGATGTTTCAACTGAGTTTGTCCTCGAGCAGCTTCGGGGTTCTAGTAGGCCTACGTCACTGGGCTTGGCCGCTTACACTGTCATCCAGTCAGGATTTTGAAATTGGCTGCCCCTGTTATTGCACCCTATCTGACACACATTTGTAACATTTCACTTGCTTCCGGTATTAATTTCCCAAAAGATCTTACAATCGCTAAGGTAGTCCCAATTCATAAAAGTGGCCCTAAATGCGTACTTAACAACTATCGCCCTATATCAGTGATGCCTATCTTGTCTAAAATAATTGAACGGGACGCCCACAATCAACTTTATGACTACCTTACGTCTAATAACATTTTTGCACCATCTGGCTTTAGAAAACATCATTCTACTTTAACTGTACTTACTAACACGTATAACAACTGGCTTGATGGTATGAATAGGGGCTGCCTTACCGGGTCGGTTTTCATTGATTTAAGAAAACAAGAAGATGCTCAGAAATGCAATTTTTTATTTTCTTATATGATTATGGGACAAAAACAAAATGTAACGAGTTGGTAATGGAGATCGAGAATGGGTAAAATGAAGAAATTGTACATAACTTGATAAGAGATGTTTTTCTCTCGATCATGTTTGTCGTAAATGGAAAAGGGGTTAAAAGTTATATTATTTAAACATTGTCTGTCATAATCATCAAATAAATGGACATGATAAAAACAGACACGAAAACACTTAACAAGAAAACACAAAAGAAGAAGATAAAGAATAAGTTTGTCAACAAAACTGACGTTGACAAAAGGGAGAAACGAATATGGACGAGCACAAACATTATCTACAGACTCCAAGGTTTAAGTTGAAGCGAAGAAAATCGATATGAAAGGCCATAGTAGTAAGGTACCGCGGTACAGCACAAACTTTAGAGGGCGTTAGGAGAAGAGACGCTATGACGTCATTTAATTCCTTTGTTTTAGAACAATGGACAAGAAGCGACGCTAATGAAATCATTTAATCCCTTTGTTTTAGAACAATGGACACGAAGACACACTAATGACATCATTTAATCTCTTTGCTTCAGAACAATAGAAAGGACGCTACTGACATCATTTAATCCCTTTGTTTTAGATAGTTATATCTACCAGGTATTCCCTTTGTTTTAGTCTCAATAGAATCTTACTTGTCAATTAAGATAGTGAGGTGCTGAAACCCCTGAAACTGAAAACAAAAGGTTATTCTCCAGGTTTCTAGTTCCTATAGAATCTAACTTCTTTAAATAACTAAAGTAAATTACAAAATTAAATTAAGAAATCTAAATACGAATAGATTTACTGACGTCATGTAATCTTTCTACATCTGCAGTGTATATATTTTGATGAAATTCTGGGATGTATAGAAAAAAAAATGTTACTACGTATGTAATTGTTAAACAGTATTGTGTGTTCTTTAGAAATTGTTAACAATGAGAGGGTATTGAAA